TGCTGTCCCTACTTGCCACAGCAGCCCCTCCACGTGCCCCTGGCTCCCTGCAGGGCTGCTCAGCAGCACCAAGACACAGCATCACAGCTTTGGGGGTAAACTGGGAGCTTAACCCTTGAGCTGCTGGGCTGTTCCTGCTGCTTTTCATCTCTCAAATCCCCCCCTCCCTCCGTGCTGGTCTCCCAAGCCCTCCATCCACACACAAATAACAAGGTTTCTCCCTGACAGGTTCCCCTCAGCCTGGCAAATGAGCAGAGGTTTTCCTAGCTTGGTTTTTCCCAGGGTTTGCTGATAAATCCTGTCTCCATAAGCCCAGCCTTGATGGGCTCATTATCAGGCAACACACGGTGAGGAAGAGACCTGTGACCCTGCCTGGGGAGACAGGGTGATCCCATGGGAATATCCCTTATCAGCCCCTTTTTAAAAGCTTCCCTTTTCCAACGTGACCCAGGAGGAGGCCTGGCCAAGCCAAGCAGCACCCAAATACCATCAGGGTGGAGGAAGATGTGGTGTGGGGGTGAGAACAAGGGGGTGCAGGAAGTTTTGGGCATGTGGGGTGGGATTGTTTCTGTGAGGGGTGTTTGCTGAGGATGGGAAGAGCCTGTGCCCGGCTGAAAACATCCTTCTGGATCTCATGGGAAGAGCCAAGAGTGGTGGTGGAGCAGGGCTGAGCTCTTCCAGCACCTTGCCTGGATCCACCTGCTCCATCCAGACAGGCTTCCCACCTGGATTACTGGGAGAAAACCCACCAGGAGCAGCTGTGGGGGAAGGTGCCATGGGACAAACTTGGTGTTGGGGCCAAGCCCCCACATCAGGCTGTGTCACCTGCTGCCACCCTGGCAGGGTGGGGAGGCTGTGGCTGTGCCCTTGTTGTCCCCAACCCCCAGGGCATCCCTGACTCTTCCCTTCACCCCTTCCCAGAGGAACTGCAGGGGCTGGTGCAGAGGGGCAGGCAGGGCTGCAGGAGCAGGGATGAAGACATGAAGGACAGAAGAAGAGGTGGGAATCCCACTGCTTGCCTGGTTGCAGAGGAGATAAAACTTTTTGGGGGGGGGGACAGAGGGAGCGGCCTCCTGCCCCTCCCCCTGCATCAGGGTCCTTTGGATGGGTTGGTTGCCTGGGTGGGTTTCTGAGCTGCCCCCCCCCCTCCAGCATCCTGGCAGGGATTAGCAGGGATGGGGTTTTGCCAAGTCCTGGCTGTCACTGTGTTCCCACCTTTGATCAGGAGTCGACATTCCTGAAGTGCTCCCTCTCCCACATGTTGTGCTGATCAAAGGCAGCTGTTGCCTGGACCCTCCCCTGAGCCCATTTCCACACATCCACACCCCCCCAAAAACCACAGGAATATGAAGGGAAGTAGGTGGACGGGGTGATGGATGGAGGAGAGACCCAGGCAAGGAGCAGCAACAGGCAAAATCCCTCCCCCTGGTCTCCTGGTGGAGGGTCCTGTCCATCCACAACCAGCAGGAAGGCTGGTAGGAGGCTGCCCGGGGTCTAGAGATGTCAAAGGCTGGCTCAGGACACGCTAGGAAGGATTTGGACCTTCTCTGTCACCTGGAAGAGAAGGTGTCATTGGGGAGTGACAGCCTGGACCAGCAGAGCCATCACCTCCTGTGGCTTTAGGTGGCATCAAGATGGAGAGGGGATGAACCCTGAGCAGTCTGTGGGGGCTCGATGTCAGGCTCTTCTGGATGGGCCATGGGTGGTTCTTCTAGGGAGAGGTGTTGCTGGAGGCTGGTGGGCTAGTGGTGATGGTCCCCACCACGGGCAGGGTGATGCCATGAGGGGTTTGACCTTGTGGACCATCTCCTCCAGCCCTGCCAGCCACCAGCATCAGCTGCCTGAGAGGGAGAGGAAGGTCTGAGACCTGCTCTGGTGGTGGGTCCTGTTACTTGTGTTTTGGCAGATGATTTCTGGTCCATGCAGGTGCCTGACCTCTGCTCCCCAGCTCCCAGCATGCAGGGGATTGGGAATAGCTGGGTTTCCAAGTCCTTTCTGAATCCTTCCCCACCACAAGCCCTGCTGGGGTCAGCAGTTCCTTTGTGCTTGGAGATGTGAGAGATAACATCTGTCCTGCCCTTCCTCATCCTCACGCCCACCTGCTCCTTACTCAGCATCACAGTTGAGCTTTAGGGCTCTGAGAAGACACAATTTCCACCCCAAAGCTGTGGACACAGAGGACGGAGCAGGACCACAGGACAAGCTTGCAGATTGTCCCCTTAGCTGAGACAGCAGGTTCAGGGGAGGGACTGCCTGGATGAAAGTCAGGTTCTGCTGCCCGCAGTGACCCTGCAGGGATCTCAGCCCCAGGCAAGGACAGCAGCATCTTCTCCTCGAGCAGAAGCTCCAGCAGACCAGGCTGGGCAGAGTCCCAGCTGCTCAGGGATGAAGCCCTTCAGAAGGTCACTTTCTCCTCCTGTTCTTCCTTTGGCTCCATCTTGCTGTGAAGCAGGTGAGGGGGCAGGTAGATCTCCAAACACCACCTTGTTCAACCCTTTTTGGTTTTGTGCCTTTCTCCAGGATGGGGCAGGACAGTTTTCTCCTACCAGGAGGGTCCAGCCATCTCTCCTCCCAAACCCCAACATCTCCAGCAGGAAGCCCAGGGAGTTGCAGGCAGCCTTTTGGAAGGTTCTGTCAATACAGCATTGCCCAGGTGAGCAGAATGCCCTGGTGGGCTGCAGGGCACCATAACCAGGTGGTGGGTGTTGCTGGGTCACCTCCTTGTCCTCAACTTATCTGGGGGTTGATATAATCAGCTGGAGAAGGTCCTGATCAGACAGGCATGAAGGGCTCCTTAGGGCTATGCTTGTCCTTCTTGGGCAGGGCTGGCAGTGCCTGTCCCCAGCCCCAGGCAGCCCAGGACAGGCTGGCTTGTCACCACAGCAGCCACCCCAGTTCAGGGTCACAGCTCTGCCTGCCCAGGAGTGACAGGCACCTGGAGAAGTTGGGGAGAGAAACCTCTGGTGCCTCTTCAGACCCCACGGGGGGAGCTCCAGCCCAGGGGAAGCAGCTCTCAAAGACAGCAGAAGGTTTGGCACCTGACCTCTCTCTCTTCATACCCGAGGACAGATGGGATCTTCAGCACCTTCTCTCTTTCTCTCCTCCTCAGCAGCACTTCACTGCATTCACCTCCTGGAACGTGATGTTGGGGACCCTTTGCTGATCCACCCACACTTGCCCCCACCATGAGAAATGCCCCAAATGCTGCTGTCACTTGCCCCCCTCCCCCCTTTTTTTTAACCCTGCTCTTCCAAAATTCAGCTGCTGGGCTGCAGGCACCCACCAGAGCCTTCCACAGCAAGGTGAGCCCCTCCTTGGTGCTTTGCAGCCCCCTGGCCACCTGGTGACAGGTCACCTGGAGGGACCATGTCTTCCCCCTCCTGTGGGTGGTGGGGGTGACAGAGCTCTGGGTCCCCCTCTGCTGAGCTTGGGGGGGGTTTGGAGGAGTGAGGGTGAAGGGGTGGTCATCCCCTGGACCACCAGCCACCCCACCATGGAGCTAACCAGGGGGGCAGAAGGGCCAGCCTGGTGCTTTCTCCAGCCAGCACCCTGGCTGTGGGGTTGATGTCACCTTTCCCAGACATGTCACCTGCCACCTCTCGTTGCTGTGACCTTGTTTTAAGACAGACAACTTGGGCCGAGTTGCTTTTTCTTCCATCTCCCAGCAGGGCTACCTGCATCCATCCTGCTGGGGACCTCTTTCCCCCAGGAGCAGGTCCAGCACTGCTGCTGGAACAGCTTCCTCAAAGACAAGGGACAGAGAAAGCTCAACCCCCAAATCCAATTGATTCATTTTTTAACCTCAGTCTTGGCTCTGGAGCACAGGCTGTTTCACCTGCACCCAGGGAGAATCCATCCAAGCTGGCTGTCCCCTATCTGCTCCATGTGCCAGGGCAGGAGGGTTAAGGAATGATCTTCAGGACAGATATTCAAGCTTTCTAACACCTTTGGGTCTCCTCAAGCCAAGGCCTCAGTTTCCCTCTTGTCTGCTGAGCTCTCTGCTCAGAAAAGAACCTGCTTTGGGGAAGGACTTTCCCCACTGCAGCAGAACCACCTGCTGAAGGAGCAACTCGCTTTTCTCCCTCTGGTTGCCCCAGTTTGGCCAGAAAAAGGATGTTGTTCCACCTCACCTGTTGGTAGACTTGGAGTCTTGGCTCACCCTGGGGAGCAGAAACCATAGAGGAAGGTAAATCCCAAGTGGGAAGCTTTTGCTTCTGGGTGGAATCTTTGGCTAAAAGAGGTTGCTTTTGAAGAAGAGAGGTGACCAAAGCTGAACATCTCCATGGACCTGGCAAAACCCACGTCCCTGCGTGGACACTGAGGTTTCTCTGCTGGGATGAGGAGTCAGTTTGGATGCCTTGGTCAAGCACCAGAGCAGAACTGGCTCTTCCTGGTGCCCTCAGAGGACACCAAGTTCCTGCCCTGGTAGGAGGGATATGGCAGCCCCGGGTGAAGGACCCAGGGAGAGAAGGATGACTGGCTGTGGCCAGGGGACACCTGTGGCTGGTTTGGAGGCCGGAGCAGGGTGGGCAGGAGCTGGGCACTGCTGCCGGCTGCCAGCAGCAGGGAGAGGAGGAGATGGGGAAGGAGAGAGGGGGGCAAGTGACTTGGAGAGGACAGGAGCGACAAGGACAAGGTCAGGACGTGTTGGTGACAGGGTGAGCGTGGCCCTGTCAGTGCCAGCCTGCATCCCAAGTGACAGGTCTGACAGCCCCGCCAAGGACAGGGCGGGAGGAGAGGACAAAGGGGAGGAGGGAGCCGGGTCCCCGGTGCTGTGACACCTCCTGGACACCCCTTGGAAGGGGCAGGTGAAGGAGCATCTCCTGGTGGAGAAAGCTTGGTGCTGTATCTGCCCTTGGAGCATCCCAGCCTCTCCTGGCTCCCATCCACCCATCCTGGCCTGTTCCCAGCTGCCCCTGCCCAGGAAGGTGCAGATTTTTTCCCTGGCTGCTCCTCCCAGCCGGGCTGCCTCCCCCCAGCATCTGCTCTGAGCTTCCAGGATGGAACAGCCACCTGGGCCGGCCTCAGAGGGACACAAGGACACGGTGTCCCTGCCCATCCTGATGCTGCTGGGCTGGGTTTTGGTGCCTCAGCCTGGAGAGCAGGAGGCTGAAGAGAGACCACCTGGCTTCCCGCCATCCCTGGCAGGAGGTTGGAGCTCCTGGAGAAGAGCTCCGAGTTGTGCCATGGGGGGGTTGACGTGGGATGGAAGGAGCAGGAGGGTGTTGAGGAGCCTTCGAGGGGGTTTGTTTCCTCCCAGGGTTGTTGGTGTCTCCTGCCCGGGGCAGCTCCCGCAGCACAACCCGCACCTTCCCTGCCC